ATGAGATTAATGACAATGATTTTATTATTGTCAAAGGCAGAAGAATGAGATGGAGTGAAATGAAATTACTTTATCCAGAATGGGATTTCAACCTAGTGATCACGGCTGATAAAGTAACCAAACTTAAAAGCAAATTTCTCTATGTATGGTCAAGAATTGGAAAAAAGTTTTGTGACGAATTTGATATGGCTTATGTTACAATGAATACACCAAAAGGTCTATCAGAATCTTTTCATTATATCTTATTGTTGGATAGTTCTGGCTCCATGCATGGTAACAGATGGTCAAATTTATTAGCTGGAGTTAACGAGTTGATTACAGCACGTAAAAACAATGGTACTGATGATTGTGCTACGATCATAATATTTAGTGACAAAGCGAATTGTTTTTGTGTTAAGAAATCAATGAAAGATGTTGATACAAAAAAAATACAATTTATTGGTGGTGAGACAGACTTTGGTCCACCATTTGAATTGGTATTGAAAACACTAGAAAGCAATACGACAGAGAAAACAATTTTAAAATCTATTATTGTATTTATGAGTGATGGTGAAGCGTTGTATCCAGAAAAACAATTAAATAGTTTGGCAACCAAAGCAGATACTCAAATTAAAGAGTTTTGGACTGTAGCTTTAGGTGAAAACAAAATGGATGTCTTAGAAAAAATCAGTCAAAAAATGAAAGGAGTCTATAAACAATTAAAAGATTCCAGTGAATTAGTTCAAGCCTACGCCGAAATTGTTCAATGATAATATAAAAAATCAATAGATTACATCACACTCATGTAAACACCGTTATTGTGACTCGTATCTTTTTTCTTTGGCCATCTATATAATTCTGTTAACAAATGTGTTTTGAATAAATCAGAATGTAACAAGATCACTAATCTTGTTTAACCAAATTTAAAGTCGTCACCAAAGAAGAATCTCAACTTATAATAGTAAAAGCCCACTGATATTAGTTCGAAATATGTAGATATAGAAAAATTAAAAATACGAATAGTATGATTGATAATGTTCGCTGTTTTAAATTAAATGAGCACTTGATCGTTATTCTAATTCTGTCACTCTGTGATATTTTTTCTTTTTGGATTGATCAACTTCGTACGCTAGTTGTGATACGTGAACAATCCTTCTTTTAAATCACATTTTTTTTCTCTTCTCTATTCTAATTCCCTCTCACTCCGGTTATGGTCACTTCAGGATATCCCTAGGTACATGAATACGTCCTTGCGCATTAATACATTTCCTACTATCTTAGTGCGTTTTTGATTGAGAAGAGTATTTCAAGTTTTGCTGTAGAAGACAACAAAAGGTGGGTCGCAATAGAAGCCCACCTTCAAACTTATAATTTTCAAAACAAAATAGAAACCCAGTGCATGAACGGCGCAAGCTCAAATTTTTAAGGGAAGCAATAAGCTTTAGAATCAGACTATATTAAGCTATGAGCCACAGTTCAAAGCTCGGCAGTTAATTTTTTCGAAATTAATTTCTCAAAAACATAGGATCGGAAGCCTACACATTAGTTTGTTTGACAGCACATTAAGGCTTCGCCCTCCGAAAAACGAGTGAGCAAAACTCAATGTTGTTTGTTATTACCTTCTGGTTACCAGTCATTTGGTTTTCGAGTTGATAATCATGTGAAAGATTGTCTGCCATTTTAACAGCTTTTCTTTTTTGATGAAATGATAAATATAAGAATCAATTGAAAATATTGCAGTCTGCTTATTAAAACTATTTAACTATTTATATTAGCAGCTAGTTCATCTCATTAAGAGTATGTTCTTATACAGTGATCATGGACGAAAGCAGAAAGAAGTACACATTTAAGTTACTTGATAATCAAAGGTTAAAAGAACATGGAAAAATAACACATTGATAAAACATCAGCACATTAGGGGAAGCAATTGATAATTCATTGCTTGCTGGTGCGCCGCCCATGGCCTAGTGGGATGTTATTTTGGGAGGGAGAAGGTTCAGATAATCTATAATTAACAGGTAGACTAAAGCCAAGAGGAAAAATTTTTATCATATGTCAAATTTTGATACAGTTAAAACTGGTGTGGGAGCGAACGTGGTTGTGCCTCTAAGACTTCTCTTCACGGATTCTCACACATCTACATCCACAGTTAATGGAACTTTTAGGCTTGGGTAGGCTCGAGCATGTTCTAGATTGGTTGTGTAAAGCTGTGGCTAGGCTTAAGTTGACTCTATCCTTGATTGAAGTCGTTTCACCGTCTATGAAACAAGATATGATCATATTACTAATGTTTATTTGTGTAGCATTGGTTTTGTTCAGGAAATGTATCATTGATATTTATGATTGGTTTGTTTAGTGGAAACGAAGTCAATAAAAATGACAATTGTTATGATGATTTGTGTATGGACAATCGTTTCAATTATGCATTGAAATTTTAGGCGTTTTGATTGTTATCAATTAGTAGAAAAGTTTGATTGAAAAAAAGATGAAGATTTCTTTTAGATTTTGCTGTTGCATATAACAATTATTATGCTCTACATTTGATTTTGACCAATCGGTATTCATTTTATCGACAAAGATAGCTTGGATATGGGTGTGGATCTTCTGTGATATTTAGTCCATACTCACATCCACACCGTCAAAAATGAATAACAAACGATGTTTATAAGTCTAATTAGAACAAATCAGTATTGAAGGCAATTATATAAATAGACTACGAACACCTAATTAATATTCTGAAGTAACTATATCCCGCATAATTCTTATAGAATATATATGTATAATGGTAGCATTCTTTGTGTATTTTATGGAACTTGCATATTTTTTTCGAAGAAAATAGGATGTGGGCATACTTAATCTCTTCAGTCACACTACATACGCACATCCACATCCACACCCTTAATGTTGTTTTTTCGATGATTCACAAGCAACAAAAAAACAATACTAAAGAGTAGAAACAAAATTGTACGTTATTGATGCATGCTGGTTGAAATTGTGCGAGTGTGTTTCTTCGCCGTTCATGTCGTTTTCAAAATTTGAATCGTTACCCGATGAAATTTTAATTGATATTTTTGAGAACTACATCAATGGGATAGATGTTCTCGTGAGTTTTACCAATCAGCACAATAGTCGTTTCAATACTATTCTTAGCCAATGTCTACAACTTCAGTTTAATTTCATCCAATGTCGAAAGAGTGACTTTCATCATTGCATGAGTCTTTTATCAGACTATAGCGACAAAAATGGAGTATTAGCTTTGTCTGAACGAGATAAACCAGGCCAGATTAAGAGTTTCCTGTCTGTATTTCCATCGTTTACTTCATTTATACGACTTCGTGCGCTTTATTTGAATTATGACATCAGTACAGTTGACTCGAACCAAATTAAGACGGCTCTTCTTTCGTTATCTAATACATCTATTGACACGTTGTCGACTAAAATAGCGAATCCAGCAGAAAGATACATGTTTCCTTAGATGGATTCACTCGATTGGGACATTCCAACGATATTCTACTTGACAGCACTCAAACGACTGTCACTCACTTTTTATTTTCGAGACACACATTAGTATGATCTGAAACTGAATTCATCTAATATTGAACATTTGACTATCGCAGACTTGCATTGTGATTGGATGGATTTATAATCAATATTTCTATATGCTCCTCGTCTTCAATACTGTAATGTCCAAGTGACTGATTTAGTTTCTCGTTTTTACTATATTCAACCTAAAGCAGCAAAAAAGATAGATGTACAATTCATGGCGACACTTCGTACTTTGATTTTGCATGAAACGATGACATATTGTATGTTAGCCGAATATTCTAAAGCTACTCCGAATTTGCGTCGTCTTGGAATTGATGCTCCCAATGCATTAATCAATGAAAATGCCTGGAAAACGTTGTTCGAAACGTCATGGCGTTTTAAACGTCTTTTGGGCTCAATAATAAAATTTTTCAGATAAGGATTACAGCAGATGAACATTCTAATTCCTTGAATGACGTTGTAGATTATGTGCGCGGTCGCAGACTAAGGAAATATGGACGAGGTGTGGGTGCGGGGGGGGGTGTGGGTGTGG